AAAAACTATCCCACAAAGAAACGGGGCCTTGAGAACGGGTCGCTGGAAGCGCAGCTCCAGGTGTCGGTTGTCAGCAATCATCTTCACCAGGCCAGCGGCTTTGACGCTGTTGCCGTTCACTGTGAGGAGACGATCGTAGGATTGGACGTCCCTGAACGAAAAGGAATCGGTTCAGCGAAGACTGACATGAGATTGAGATCCCCTTTGATATTAGCACAGAGGGGTCGTTCCACCCATTCTCTAGAGAATCATCTAGAAAATGAGGGGGCTTGACACCTGCTGCCTCTAGAAAATGTCCATGAAAATTCTGTTCATTTTCTAGTGGGAGAAACGTTTTCACTAGAAAATGGTGGGGTACAGGTTCAGAGGTCGTACCCCCAACATGTCTCCAAAATGTTCCCATATGTTTCAATATGAAAAAATATAACACAATCATACACAATCTTGTTTTTTCCAACTTGATCTCTAGAAAATGCTCCTCTAAAGCCCCTATCCAGGCTCTAGAAAATGACCCTTGAACATTTGTGGTCATTCTCTAGTGAGGTACCTCTCTTCTAGAAAATGGTGGGGTACAACCTTGGAGGTCGTACCCCCGCATCAGTTTTCTAGAAAATGACCTTGTTCTAGGGGACCACGACCCCCCCCCATTTTCTAGAGGAAATACCAACAGGGATAGATTGAGTATCTGGCAATCTCTGAATGTCAAACATATTCAAGAATCCACAGATGGTGCGTTGAGAAGTAATTGTAGAAAGCTTTCTGCTCAGGAGTCTGTGATTTGTCTGTGTTTCCAGTGGACTACATTCTCCAGCATGCATGCTACCATGTCTGGCTTTTGCAACCAAGGTTCTTGATCTTACTGCCGGGATCAACGCGACGTACTACCTGGGAGTGCATAAGCTGTCAAGTCCGCTGAATGGCCACAGTGCATCCACGGCTTTCTACCACTGGCAGAGTTAAACCGATTCCACCTACAGTCCGTGGTCAATACTGAGAATGGAACAGCACATTTATTTGTGAAAGGCAAAGGTCATCCAGAGTGTCACTTCGCATGATTACTGGACAAATATCCCCAAGATCCGTACAAATCAAATCAACTGAAGCATCTTGAAACCGCTTCAATGCTCCAATTCAAAAATCCTCAGAAATCACAAAAAAAAAGGACAAGTCACAACAAGAAGATCTCAATAATCACAACAATTCACCACAGGTCCGCCCACAAAACGGGA